TTGAACTAATGTTGAACCAATGTTGAACTTGTTGAACCAATGTTGAGCCAACATTGAAAGTGTATTGTTCAACATTGGTCTTATGGTCATTATGATAATGTATGAAATGCATTTGCAATAACGTCCATTGTTTCACCAACGTTGAAAAACATAAAGAAAAACTAGAGATCTTTTTTGTTGTTTACCCCACAATTTCTCCCCCCTTTATCCGAAGAAGAAAACCTATGGTTCCGCCCCGTCTCAACATCACTGCTACCTGTAGCAATCGACTAGCTTAAACAACCAATACTTTTGGTCAACATTTTGCTGAGAATCAAACGCCCTGCATGCTAAACTAGTTGTTTTGCTTCGGTAGACGACCCTCGAAACTTGCAGCGCCTTATGGCCAAGATAAAGAACAATGAGAGCGCAAAGCACCGTAGTTTAACACTTTACTACCCTACTAGATGGTGCGACTATATTGCTCCCCCCCCTCTCTTGATCCCATCTAAGGCCATTTGAAACTGAAAAACAACTTCAATATCAATTTGTAAAATGATTTATCGACATAACGCGAAAGGAATACGAGTCCCCTGTTCATAACTAAAGCCTGACTGTTGGAGTTTGTGCAGAAAAGATGGCAAAGGGGGCCACATAATCCGAGGAAAATTATCTAAACATCTACTGGACACGAGGCTACGGGGGAACCACCTCTCGCCAAAGAGGAAATCTGGATAGACTTCCTCCAAATGGACGAGGGTAAAACCCCGGGGTGGATGACCTCCCAAGGAAATTTTAGGAGGCCATGTGGAAAGTAATGGCACCTAACTAATGGATACTACCGACAAGTAAAGGTGACGAAACCATGGGTGATCTGGCGGGGCAGTGGATTCCCACCCTACTGTTCAGAAAATGAGACGAAACTAATATTAAAAATTAACGGCCGATCACCTTGTTAACAGTGGAGTACAAAATTATCTCCAAGGCACTGGCTAACCGCATGATCCCAGTAATGGAAGGATCACAGGCAATCGACCCGGCACAGATGGGGTTTATGCGCAATCGTCATATCCAAGAAAATTTACTAATAGAACAAAAAATAATTAAGCTCACCCGCAAGTCCCACAACAATGCAACCCGTCTTTATCAAATTTGAAAAGGCGTAAGACCATGTGGACTGGTGGTTCCTCTAAGTTGAACTTCGACCCGGACTTCTGGGAATGGGTAGGCATCCTCCACCAGTACACCATCAATCACCTCAAAATGGTACTTGACTGCCTTCGTATAGTGAGGAGAGTCGGAGACCCTAATTGGCCTAATGTTATAAGGCGGGTGGTCTGGGCCTCCCTAGTTCAATGCGAAAGCTAAGGCAATTAGAGAATCATTGGCCTGGAGATGTAGACCAAGGCATTGACCCTCCAATCGGTTAGTATGTGACGTACCAACTTTTGCGCTGAATGAACTTCTGAAGCCCCAAGTTTCGCTACTCGTGCTTTTTCGATCTCTAACGGGCTTTAGGTGTACCTTTCTTTTTGGTTGGTGCTATGAATGAAATCAATGGCCGACGAGACCCTCCCACTTCCAAGACTTGTTGTTTTTTCCTTGGACTTTCCAAAATTTCTTCTTGGCGATCCACAAATTTACGTAGGACTTACACGCACCTAAATGAGCGTGCCAGAAATTTTATTCGGCAGTTGGGGATTCCAGAATTTGTTGCTGCACTTCCTGCTGAAGTGTCCGTTCTTGCAAGTGAATGCTCATAATTCGACCTTGAAGGCTTTGTGAATTTTCTGTACGATCATAAAGTGTAGGATTTTTCCCTCGTCCAATCTCACGTGCGGATGTCGTTTTTTGAATTTCCCATTCTTGAATTATTTTTAGAGCTAGAATGGACGAAACATAACCATTTTGGTGCCTTTTTGTCTCTTTGTTGGCGCCTTGTATGCAAGCTTCCTCCGCTTTCCACTGTGTCCCATGCCATTTTCACCTCTCTCTTCTTCCCGTCTTCTTTCCCCCATCTGTAATTGTTTTCCATTCCCTCTCCCTTCGCGCTTCTTTCCCGCTTCTTTTTTGTCTGAATATCGTCCCGCTCCGCACTACTCTTCCAGCTCTCCTTCCTCCCTCCTTCATCCCCATACAAGAACTCCCTACCAATCCCCCCCCCTAGAGTATTTGAGTCGTCAGGCGACATCGTAGGAGGATACTCCCCTCAACCCGTGATCTGATTGGTTGCGAAAAAACTCGCGGGGATTGCTATAACTTTCCCGGATGATTAACCTGAACTCTCTCTTCAACCCCTTCTACCTTCACCCCATTCCCTCCTAATAGTATCTTCTATCTCCCTCTTTCAACTATAAAATCCGCAAGCGCATCAGAAAAACGTTTTCTAAACCCATCTGCCAACTTCAGGGAAGTTGTAGCTGGATGATGTGTGCGTGTACGGTGAACCACAAATTTCTGACAGGTTGACTGTAGTTTTGCAAGGTTGTGAGCAGGGTGGCCGCAACGGAGTGCGAGATCTGGGCAAGTCGGTGTAAAAACTGAGTTGGCAGGGTGTCGATCGCTGTGATGTGGAGGTTGGTATGTGCTGGTGAGGATCGCCAGTACCTGGGTACGAAAGGTGTATGTGTACGAATGGTTGCATGACCTAGGGCCATCATCGGAGAGCAGTGCCGTACCCCCGTTCACCTTTCACGGGATCTGTGAACGGAGCCGGTCATAGAGTTCACAGACTTCACGACACAGGAGTTCA